GCGTCTGGGCGGAGAGCCCCTCGAGCCCCTCGCTCTCCGAGGCCCCCCGCCCCTGCCAGGCCTCCAGTCCTCAACTTGGGCGAGTTTTAAGAGGGGGGGACGTCTCGGTTCCCGCTCGCCCGCCCGCCCGCCCTCGCGGCCCGCCCGTCCCAGGCAGAGCCCAGGGCCGCGGGGATCTCAGCCCTGGGAGCACCGCTCTCCGCCGCGGGCCCCCAGTCGGGGTGAGGATTGGCCCTTAAACTCGCTCGTCCAGCCCAACCGCCCCGGCGGCTTCTCCCAGCCCTCGGGGCCGTCCCGAGCGGCCCGGAGAAGCGTCGAGCGCTGCTCCAGCTCCCGCCTCCTCTCCCGCCTCGGCCCTGGAAGGGAGCTTTCGGCCCATGCGGATCGGGGGGACCGCGGCGCCCTAGGACAGGCAGCTCCCCGGGCCCCGCCAACCCCGCGGCCCCCGGGAGACCGCGGGGACAGAAAGAGCGCGCACCCTTGGATGAGGTCCCGCAGCGACGCCCCGGCCCGCCCCGCCCCTCCTCCTGCCTGGCCAGGCTGCCTCCCATTTGGGGAGTTTTGTGGGTTTTCTTTCTCCTCCTCCAACCTTCGCGGAGGCCACGACTCAGGCGCCGGGGTCGCCTCCATGGTGCGGGGCAGCCACTGCTGAAGTCCGCGAACCCGCGCCTGGCTGCCAGGCGGAGAGGGAGGCGAGGCCATGGCGGTAGCCACGTCGGTGAGTCCACCCGGGAGAGGAGGCCGAGGGGCAGAGACCTGCGCTGCCTGCCTTGCACTCCTGCCACTCTTATTTCTGCCTTCTCTTTGTCTCTCTCCCTGGTCCCTTTCTTCTCTGGAGTCCGTTCCCCTCCCCTCCTCTCACTTTTGTTTCCCTTTCTCCCTCGCACTCATCCGCAGCTCCTCTGGGTCTGGGTTTTCCCTTCTTCCCTCCCCCCCCCCTTTTCTTTCTGGAGGCTGCCCTTGGAAGAAGGGGAGGGGGCAAGCGAAGCCAGAGTCCTATCTGCTCCCTTATGGGCGGGAACAGATGGCCACTGGTGGTTGGCGGGGGCTTATGATTGGGAGGCAAGTAAAAGATTGGGAAAGGGTGGAAAGAACGGAGGTGGGTAGAAGTGGAAAGAACTGAAAATGGGAGTCACCAGAGGGCCTGAAGAGGCCCTTCTCTAGAGCCAGGATGGGGGCAGAGGAGAAAATTGAGCAAAGAGGGAGACTGCCGTGTGGAGGTGGGGGGGTGGGGGTGATGTCAGCCAGCCTCAAGCCACTTTCCGGGGACTGGGGACAAAGGGAGGAGACAGCTGGCATGATGGGAGAGCGGGAGGAGGCCTCCCTGAGAGTGTGGCCCACTGCCACCTCCCACCCAGCAGCCACGCCCTCACAAGTCATCTGGGCCCCTGAGGAGCGGGTAGAGCAGGGTGGCCACACCCATCATCAATCAATCTATCAGCTGCCCTGGCCTGGGTTCTGGAAATTGCTAGGCCCAGGGGTTTGGCCCCATTGGACAGAATTCAAACCCAACACTGGGAGGAGCTCTCTACAGCCCCACCTCTGCTTTCTGCCCAGGCCTGGTCTGATGCGGCAGCTCGGTACCCTTTCCACCCTTCTCTAGGCCCTAGCATTTCTCAGGAAAGGGAAGCTGCCTCTGCTTTCTGGCCCCTCTAGACGAATATTCTGTGAAGGATTGCAAGGCTGGAAAAGGAAGCATGACATCGTCCCATGAGAGCCCTCCTCAGACCAAACTCCCTGGATTTTCTCCATGCTGTGATGTGATAACATAGCTCAGAGCCAGGAGGAGAGGCAGGACGGTCCTGAAAATAGTGGCAGCACTCAGACAGAAAGCTGTTGGCCCGTGAACCAGTCAGTTGGCTGTGTAATCATAGGCAGTAGATTTTTCTTTTTGCCTAGAGATGGGGGGGTAATATTTATGCCAATCCAGCTCACAGCATCTTAGTAACACCAGTATTTGGGGTCTACGTACCAACTATATCTGGCCCTATGATAAGCCTTGTTTTGTTTTTGCGTTTGTTATTTTTTTTGTTTTGTTTTGGTTTTGATCCATTATCTCATCCAATCCTCATAACTGCACTGTGAGGATAGTACTGTTATTATCTGAAAATGGAAATTCGGATATGGAATTCTACAAAAGAAGAAACTAAGACTCGGAAAGGTTCAACAACCTGCCCAAAGTCACCCAACTAGAAAGGGACAGAAACAGGACTCAAACCCAGGTCTGTCTGCCTCAGAACTGTGCTCTTAACCCCTGGCAAGATCCAAAACGCCGATTTGTAATTTATAATTAGAAAGAGAATGCTGTGCTAACTAGGAATTGGAGTCATCTGTTAGCATGTGTTCTTAGTGTGAGACCATATCTTTGGGAAGCCAAGATATAATCAGAAAGTGGTTTGATGAGTTTGGAATCAGACAAGAGGAGAAGATAGCTTGTTGTTAAAATCTCCCAGCCATGGGGCGCTGGACAACCTCTCTACCCGAGAGAAACATGCGCTCTCGCTGGCAGAGCAGGGCATACTTCCCAAGGCCCGCTGGCCAAATGCAGCCTTCCAGAGAGCTTTAACTCGAGTTTTTACTGAATTAGTCAGCTCGCTTGGATTAACTGTCAGTGATGCCTAACTACCTGCTTTCCACCACCATTGTGTAAGTCTGGGTCCTGCCAGCAGGCACTGTCACTTAGTAAGCATAATTTGAACCAGAATAATTTTTTCTTTGAAGATTTGTTTTTATCTATGCATACAGGAAGTGGGCCCTAGACCAGAGGTGTGGGGGCGTGGAGGATTCACCAGAGAGAGTGGGGAGTAGAACAGGTGGACCTACTAGATACACTCCTGGGGGGGGCAGTGGGGGAGACAAGAGAGGTCTGAGGCACCATGAGGGTCAGCTTCCTGGCTGGGGATTGAACTCATGCAGCAGTGACTGATGATAGCTTGATAGTGCCGAGACTTAACCCCTGCACGCCAGGGAGGCCTCGAAGCAGAATACAATTTTGACATTGTGACTGGTTTAAAATGGATTCCACCAAGGAATCCAAAGCATCAAGGAACCAGATACCTGTGAAATATTAGCAAAAGAAAATTGATTGTAGTGAGGCCTTCGTATTGTTTGACTTAACCATCATTACTAGTATAAGAAAAAGAGTAGTCCTGATGTTTGTGATTGCAGAGAGCTGTCAGATTGAGCCTGCAGGCTCTCAAATCAAACAACAAATCACATTCTACCAACTATTTAAACTATGTGTCACTGGGCAAAGTGCTAACCCCTCTGTTCCAGTTTCCTTGCCCAGTGGGGATAAAGATGGCCTCTCCCTCATAAGGTGGTTGTGAGGATTAAATGTGATGAGATGATTGAGGCAAGACTTGCATAGAGTCTGGATATATAAGTTGCACCTATATCAGTGATTTTTTTTCTTTTACCTGAGCATGTGACTCTGGAAGGAAAAAGCTTACATATCCCTACCAGATGAGACCAGAAACAAGCTGATGTCCAACAGAGAGCACCCCCACCCCCCACCTCTTCCCTTCATGAGTACTGAAGCGCATACGTTTTCCTCTTCTCCATGGTAACCTCAGCCTCTTCTAATAGAAACTTATTTGTTCAGACTGAAAACAAAACCTTTGTTTTGGCTTCTTCTGTATTACGCCTAGGTACTTATCTGGGCTGAACTTCTAGTTTCTCAGAACAAGAGATCTCTGCTGCTGCTTCATCTAACCTTTTGCTAATAGGGGATGCTGACTGGGAAACAGATTCAAGAGATTCTCTGGGCGAATCTTAGCACCTTTCCCTCGTGTTCGTGAGATTTTGGAGGAAATTTATTCAACGTGTGTTTATTCAGAACAGATTCCTACTCAGGCACCACTGCTAAGGCTAGGGATAAGGCAACCCTTGTTCTCACAGGGTTTTACAGCGTAAGGAAAGAAAAATCAGTAACAAAAGAGTAAACAGTAGAAAATATTGTGACGGAAATTAGGTGTAGACACAGAATGGGGTGGGGAAGAAAAGACCTCTTTGAGGACTTTGAAGCAGAACTGAAGGGTGAAAAAGAGTGAGTCAGATGAGGAGTCAGTCAAGGAGCATTCTGGGTAAGGGAACTAATAAGTGCAAAGGCCCTGAGGGGTCCGGGGGGAAACTTGGCTTGTTCGAGGGAGGCCAGTGCAGGGAATGAAGCTAGAAACAGGAAGGTCGACTGAGAATTCAGGTCTTCACTTGAAGGCAATGGGAAGCTCTATAGAGTGTTTCGAGCAGGGCGTGACATGACCCGAGATGTGTGTGAAGACCCTCTCCCCACTCCCACCTCATCCACCAGGCCCAGCTGGCCCGGGCCCTCTACGACAACACCGCCGAGTCCCCCCAGGAGCTGTCCTTCCGCCGAGGGGACGTTCTACGGGTACTGCAGAGGGAGGGCGCTGGCGGGCTGGATGGCTGGTGCCTCTGCTCCCTGCATGGTCAGCAGGGCATCGTGCCCGCCAACAGAGTGAAGCTCCTTCCTGCTGGTCCAGCACCCAAGCCCAGCCTCTCCCAGGTGCCCCCAGCCCAGCCTGGCTCGCCACATCCAGCCCCCGAGCACAGCAATGAGGACCAGGAGGTGAGAGCTGGAGCCCTCCCAAGCCCACGCCAAGAGACCCCATTGCCCTGTGCTGGTGTCTGCAGTGAGGTGGGGCCAGGAGAGCCTCGAGATGGCCACTCCTCACCAACTGCTGAATGAAGCCTGTCTGCCAACCCTGTCCTGCCTCTGTTTCCCCGCTGCCTCCGGGAGGGGGTTGGAAGGTGTCAGCCCCTCCGAGGCACACATATGATTCACTGGCCCCCGACGACTCCTGACCCGCCTGCTCATCTGTGTTGATCCCCCAGGTGTATGTGGTGCCGCCCCCAGCTCAGCCCTGTCCTACCACAGGACCTTCAGGTGGATCCTGCCCACCCTCCCCTGACCCCATCTACAAAGTTCCCAGAGGCACCGGGACCCAGCTGACTGCTCCTGGGGACACCTTGGAGGTAAGGAACAAGGTGGATGCGTGTGTGCGTGTGCGTGTATGTGTGTGTGTGGTTTAAGAACACGACATGCCCACCACTACGCCTGTGGTAACTGGCCCTTCTCTCTCCAGGTCTATGACGTGCCCCCCACCGCCCTCCGAGTTCCCGCCAGTGGCCCCTATGACTCCCCTGCCTCCTTTTCCCGTGCTCTGGCCCGACTTACGCTGCAGTCACCTGGAGAGGACGAGGCTCCCTATGATGTACCTCTGGCCCCAAAGCCGCCTTCTGAACCGGAGCCAGATCTGGAGTGTGAGGGAGACCGGGAGCCAGGACCACCCCTCTACGCTGCCCCCTCCAACCTGAAACGGGCATCAGCCCTGCTCAATCTCTATGAAGCACCGGAGGAACTGCTCACAGAGGGAGAGGGCAGTGGCACTGAGGAGGGCATCTACGATGTGCCCCTGCTGGGGCCAGAGGCGCCTCCTCCTCCAGAGTCCCCAGGAACCTCCACCTCCAGTGACCTGGACACCCTGGCCCTGCTTCTGGCCAGAAGCCCCCCACCCACACACAGGCCCCGGTTGCCCTCGGCTGAGAGTCTGTCCCGCCGCCCCCTGCCTGCCCTTCCTGTCCCTGAGGCGCCCAGTCCCTCTCCAGCTCCCTCTCCTGCTCCAGGCCGGAAGGGCAGCATCCAAGACCGGCCTCTGCCCCCGCCTCCACCCCGCCTGCCTGGCTATGGAGGCCCCAAAGCTGAAGGGGACCCAGAGGGTGGGGAGGTGGAGGAGAGTCCAGCAGGACACCACAATGAGTATGAGGGCATCCCGCTGGCCGAAGAATATGACTATGTCCACCTAAAGGTAAGCTTAACTCTGGCCAGCCCCCCGGGGGGAGGGGTTCCTGAGAGAACAGGGGTGTATTGGGGGAGAAGCAAGGAGGCCCGGCATCAGATACAGACCTTCCTATTCTTTGCTGGCCCTGTGGTCCGGAACCCCCGAGGTTGGCCTCAGCATTTGTACTGGTACCACATACCTCCCCCAAATGCAGCAGGGGCCCCTGTGTGCCTTCCGACCTGCCTCCCACTCCTGCGTTGAGACCCTGATCCCCTCCTGCAGGGCATGGATAAAGCTCAGGGACCTAAGCCTCTGGATAAGGCCATCCCAGGGGATCCTGAACTGCTGGAGAGGGGGCTCCCGGAGCAGCAGGTAACCCTGGGGAGGGGGTGCTCTGGAAGGGGGTCTGAGGAGGGAGGCACAGGGAATTGGCAAGAGTGCTCTTCACTGAGCCTTCAGGGGGGTAGAGTAAGATGGGGGTGAGAGTTCAGTGAGCAGGACAGTTGGAGTCGAAAGGAGTTAGGATTTGGCAGAAAGTAGCAGGAATGTAGAAAAGGATATCAGGAATTTAAGAAAGAGGGGAAAGAATGTGCTGGAGAGTGGTCAGAAAACTGAGCAGCCAGCAATCAAACACAGAGCTGGGCGGGGTGACTTCTGATGGTGCTTCCAACTGAATTCCTGGGTTCCTAAGAGACCTCCTAATCCCAGCGCCACCACTCAGAAGCCAGGGGCTCTGAAACCTCAGTTAATCTCGCCAAGCCTTAAGAAAGTGAGGTGGGCGCCTCAAGTCTGTGTGCAGTGGTCCTAATCACAGCAGCTTCCATTCTTGGTTTTCCTGGCCGCAGGGCGTAGGCCGGGTTCAGAGCTCGCGCATGCGCCGTGCTGAGCCCTGGCTATGGACTCCCTCCCGCGCTGCGAGCAGGGAGCAAGGAGCAGGGCAGGCTGCTGGCGGGGTGCAGTTGGCTGGCTGGAGGGGTGCAGTTGGCTGGCTGGCGGGGCGCAGAAGGGGAGAAGTCAGCAGAAGCGGAAGACTAGCCACACGTGGTATTACATATAAATGTCAAATATAAATGTCACCGGACTAAGTTATTCTTTATATTGATTCGTGTTGAAATGACAACACTTTATGTATCTGGAATTAGAAAAAAACCTACAGGCTCTTTTGCTTTTCTTAACGTGACTCCTAGAAATTTCTAAATTACGTGAGTGGTTCGCATTATGTTTCTTTGGGTCAGCACAGTACTAGAGTGCCCATTTTAGAGATGAGGAAGCATCAAAGTTCAGAGGCTTGTTTGTAGGTGTGTGAATCCAGGCTTTTGGACACCAAGTCTGGACACTTTCCTGCAGTCTGAGAATCTGAATTTTCTGACGGCAGAGGTAGGAGTATGATGAGGATGACACTCAGGAAGAAGGGATGAGGAGTAAAGGGTGGATGCTAATGAGAGTGTTTCCACTGACCTTCTGTCTTGCCCTTCAGAAAGCCCTGTCCCCAGGGGAGCCGCTGGTGCTGCCCACCGGAGATCTCCAGCTCCTGCACTTCTATGCCGGCCAGTGCCAGAACCACTACTCGGTGCTACAGGCAGCCGTGGCGGCCCTGATGTCCAGCACCCGGGCCAACGAGCCCCCACGCCTCTTTGTGCCCCACAGCAAGCGGGTGGTGGTGGCCGCCCACCGCCTGGTCTTTGTTGGGGACACCTTGGGCCGGCTGGCAGCCTCTGCCCCTCTGCGAGCTCAGGTTGGGGCTGCAGGTACAGCGCTGGGCCAGGCACTGCGGGCCACTGTGCTGGCTGTGAAGGGCGCCGCCCTGGGCTACCCGTCCAGTCCTGCAGCCCAGGAAATGGCGCAATGTGTGGCAGAGCTGGCAGGGCGGGCCTTGCAGTTCACCACCTTGCTCACCAGCCTGGCCCCCTGAGGGTGCTATGGCGCCCTCAGCCCTACACCTCCCTGCCAGAGTTCCCTGCCCCAGGCCCTAGGTGTCTGGAAGGCTCTGTTTCAGGGACCAGGGGAAGTGGAAGCATCTCTCCCCCCTTCTGGTCATCTCAGCCTCTCACAGAGGCATCCCCCACCCCGCAGCTTTTTGTACGAGCCATTTTGTATAAATTATTTATATTTAATACTATTTCCTGCTTTGTCTGGGACAGGCACAGACCCTCTGGGGTAAGGGAGGAACTGGCCCGTCTTCGCTCGGCCTGGGGTGGAGGTTCTTGGTGACCGCACTGCCACCTTCCTCTGGACTCAGAGAGAAGCAGGTGACTGGAACCTCGTTCTTGTCCTGGATCATCAGTGCCTCACTAGTCACTGGGGAAAAGGACAGGACATTGGCCACGCAGAATGTGGAAGTCTAGAGAGGCCAGAGGGTACCTGCCCACAGGAGGTGGGGAGACCTGGTCCTCAGGTACCAGGTGTGCACCTCAATAAACCCTGCCTCTGCTTTTGGGGAGCCTAGGAGGTAAGCTTGGTACCCCTAGGCCAAATCTGTGGGACTCCCATTATGGGCGTGGTGTCTTTAGGATTTGGGGGAAATTTGACTGTTTCTTCAGCAACTGTTCATCCAGCAGGGTCTCAGCTTCCATGGCATGCCAGTACCCCACTGGTGGGGGTGGGACAGACATAAAGGAGGCAGCAATTAAAATAATATTAAAAAAACCCTACCACAGATTTGACAACAGTGCTGATGGGAATAAACAGTGTGATGTGAACAACCAAATGAGGAGAGAAGCCAGTGAGAGAGACTGGCCGGGGGGGGGGGGGGCAGTGTATCCGAGATCCCAAAAATGAGAAAACAGCATTCCAGGAAGGCAGACTGATACCAACCAGGGGCCTGTCCGCCAAGAGTTTCTGTCAAACAAGGTCATTTGGGAGGGTCATATATGGAGAACTGGACAAGTGCCATCCTGAAGAGGTCACTCCAGCAAAGGCCTGTCTTCCCCTTTGCCCCATGAGACTGCTTTGGCTAGCTGGAGTGATGTTGCCCATCCTGGGCTCCCTCTCCCCTGTGTGAACCCAAGAGGGTCTAGCCCCTTCCCAGGCTTCCTGTCAGCTATTCTGAATAAAGCATCTTCTGGAGGGTATGGGGGACAGACGAGGGCACATGCTACAAGTCCACAGCACTCGGAACTTTGGTCACGTCGATGAGACAAGGCTCAGATGGGCGACACTCACACTCCAGCCACTCATCACAAGGGAAGCCCGGGCCACAGCTCCGTGTCTTCATTATTTTCCCAAAATGTTCCCCTGGCACAGTGACTGGATTGGAGGCACCCCAAATTTCAATCACAGTCTCTGTCTCGTGGCACTCCCTATGCATTTGCCTCCTCCAACTTGTTTATCTTCTCATTTCAATCTCAAAAGAACATTGATTTCCAAATTCTGGGACCACTAAAATTCACCCCTATATCTGGAACACTTAGCACAGGGGTCATCCTCCTCCTTCTGAGACTTTCAAGCAATCACTCTGAAATTAGCTCCAGAAGTCTCAGTGCAAGTCCCAGATCTGCCACGGACAGATGATCTGTAGGGAAATCTTGTCAATCCCACTGAATCGTGGTTTCATCTTCAATATGAGGATGATTAAAATGGTCTCACTGGGTTGTTGTGAGGCCCTACCAAGATAATACATGTGGACAGCTCAGCACCAATAAAGTTAAGGGATTGTTATTCCAAGACAGACAAAAGGACAGTGACACATAAATCTTCAAGGAGTGCTGGTGGTGACGGTGCTAAAGCAAACCTGAAGAGATGCTGAAAGGAGTTGGGGGGTGGGGAGGGGTAGGAGGCTGCTTAATGTTTTAGAAAAGGATTTTCCATATTTGGAAATTTTTCTGAACAGAGAAGACAAATTAGAAGTGGCTCAGTTGAGAGAAGAGGGAATGGATTACCTGGCTCAGGCTGTCAGGATACTCTCACCTAAATTTCAGCTCTTACCTAAGATTAGAGACCAAATTACCTATTAGGCATCAACTCTTAGAGAAACGTGTCTCTAATGTACATACACCTGCAGATCTAGTTAAAATGCAGCTTATAATTCAAGGTGATAGGCTACTGCATGTCTAGATGTCACACTAACAATTCTAGGAGTTAGGGAAGACTTCCTGGAGATAAGATGAGAATTCAACTAAAGGAGAGAAGTCTTAAGCATAAGGACAAGCTTGTGCAAGGGTCCTGTGGCACTGGAAAACTGAAACTGACCGTCTGTGGAGGATTCGGGGAGAGATGAAATGGAGCTGCAGACAGCCAGGGACTAGACACACAGGACCAAGTATGTAGAGTCTAGGATATTAGTATTTACCGTGAGGTGAGGGGAAGCCGGAAAGGGACATGATCTGATCTGCATTTTGAAAAGATACTCCATCTGCATTGTAAGTAACATAGAGAAGAGGAAACACCGTGGGTACGGAACATCAGTGAGGAGAGGACCGCTCCCTGCACAAAAGGGAGATTGACCATGGGACAGAGAAGTCAAAACCAAAGATACAGACGGTTTGGTAAAGGATTTGACATGGGGGCAGGAAAGAGGGTGCTCTAAGGGCTGTCACCTGAGCTGCTGAGCACAATTAGATGAGGTACCTTTCACTAAGGAAAGAAGATAACCAGGTCACACGGGAAGAACATGAGTTTGGATCTTTTGAGTCTGAGGAACTGTGAGTGGCTCAAGGTAAAGTTAACTCAGAGGTGGCTTCATGTGTCTGGGACTCCAAAGAGGTGGGAGCAGATTAATCTGGAGATCAGGTGTGTATTTGTATTGGTGACCGGAACGGCAGGGGATGTCTGAGGTGGAGAGAGTCGGAGGAGAGGATGGCCTCAGACTAAGCCTCCGAGGATGGCAGACACTGAGGGTGAGGAGGAGGAAGGATAAAATCTGTAGTGGAGAAAAGAGGAGCAAAAGAGAAAGCCAGGGGAGTGTGGAATTCAGCAGCCACAAGGAAGAAACTGGTGAAGGACTGGTCAACAGTGCCCAATGCGGTTGAGAATGGTGGTGGCTCAGCCAGAGTGGGGTACCAAGCCCAACAAGTTGGTCTCCTTGTCGAGGACTGAAGCCATGGTTGAGTCCAGAGTCCAACCCAATCCTCCACAATCCTCTACAGAGACTTTCCTGTAATTGCCCCTTACACATATATCTCCCCAGTAAGCTACACCAAGGTGGATCTTGTCCACCCTATTATCTCCTACAAGCCCACAAGACCAAATACATAGTAGGCACTTACTACATTTTACTGTTGAATTAATGAATGGATGGATGGGTGG